GCGAAGCTGAATACCGCGTGTCCATGTACAAATGCGTACTGTAAACTTAGCATTTTCGACAGTATGACGTTATAAAACTAGTTCAAGTCCAACGTAGTCGAACGAGAAATGCACCGGCTAAAAATAGTAGCTGGGCTAAAGTGCATTGCATGGATAATGTTAATGAGGCGGTGACTTGTGACTTAAATGCGTGTACTCTTGTGTATATAAATATAAATATACATACATATTGTTACGGGGAAGATTTATTCACCGAGAGCTGGTCTTGCTAACGGCTTAAAGAGCGCACAGTCATGCAGGCCAACGGGAAAAACTCTAGAGTCCAACCCACTACAACCACGTTATCGTCTTCTTCATTTGGGTGCCAATTCAGCTGTGTCTAGGTGACAGTTTCATACACGTATCATCACCCCGGCCCGTAAGGCACCGTCTCGGTGCCTGTTAAATGAGCGAGTCAGCGTTGTAGGGCTTGAGACGAGAAACGTGGACTACTTCCGTTCTGGGAGCAGCAGCTGATGAGTTTGTGGTAGCGGAAATCTCGTAGGTCACAGGTGTGACCTGACGAATGACTCGGTAGGGCCCGGCGTATCGCGATAGTAGTTTCTCGCTGAGGCCAACACGTCGAGACGGGAGCCACAAGAGAACAAGAGATCCCGCAGAAAAAACGGCATCTCTATGTCGACGGTCGTAAAGGGACTTCTGTGCTGTCTGCGACGACGATAACCGAGCGCGCGCTACCGCGCGTGCCGTGAGGGCCCGGGAGATCGCATCCTGAGCGTACGAAGTGGAGGATGGGTGGTCTGATGAAAGCAGTGTGTCGAGGGGCAGTAAGGGATGACGTCCGAAGAGTAGATAAAAAGGGGAGTAGCCCGCTGTTTCATGACGCGACGAGTTATAGGCGAAGGTTACGAACGGAAGAGCTATGTCCCAATCAGTGTGGTCGGTAGATACGTACATGGAAAGCATGTCCGTCAATGTGCGGTTTAGGCGCTCCGTAAGGCCGTTAGTCTGAGGGTGGTAAGATGTGCTGAAGTTGTGACGGGTAGCACAAGATCGGAGTAGGTCATCAACCACACGAGATAGAAAGTAGCGACCACGGTCTGTGAGCAGGTGAGTCGGAGCGCCATGCTGGAGAATAATGTCGTACAGCAGGAAGTCGGCAACGTCGGTTGCGCAGCTGGTTGGTAGCGCTCGAGTGATTGCATACCGAGTGGCATAGTCTGTGGCCACTGCAATCCATTTATTTCCAGCTGTAGAAGTAAGAAAGGGACCTAGCAAGTCCAACCCCACTCGATAAAATGGCTCGGCTGGAACTTCAATAGGTCGAAGAAGACCGGCAGGGGGAGTCGTAGGCTTCTTTCGGCGCTGGCAGAGGTCACAAGATGTGACGTAACGGCGAACAGAGCGGTACAGACCCTTCCAGAATACTCGTCGTCGAATGCGGTCGTAAGTTCTGGAGACTCCTAGATGTCCAGAAGTTGGAGCGTCGTGGAATTGTCGCAGAACATCCTTTCGCAGGTGATGTGGTACGACGAGTAAAAGTTCCGCGCCGTCGGGGTGTAAGTTGCGGCGGTACCAACCAGCTGCGCAACCGACGTTGCCGACTATATATATATATATATATATATATATATATATATATATATATATATATATATATATATATATATATATATATATATAGATGAAATAGATCATCAGAGTTTCTTCCGGCTACCATAATAAAAGTTATAAACTTCGCGAATCGTGTAGTATAGGAAACAAAACAATAAATTATTTATTTAATCCTAACAGTTTCGGCTGGTGGACCAGCCTTCTTCGGAGGATGTAAGTGAAATGGTACAAGTTCCCGTAGCAGAGGGTCACGCTCACAGTTTGAAGACCCTCAAAAAAAAAAAAAAAAACACGAGACAAACGGGCGAACGAGGTAGCAACGGACAACAAGAAGCAGAAGAAGGAGAGGAACTAGAAAGGAGCGACGGAGAGCCGCCGGGAACGAGCGGGTAATTGGCTGGCGGCGCGTCTTACCCCCCCCCCCCCCACACACACACACGCACACACACAAGAAGCATACGACCCGCTCCCAGAGCTTTCGGAAAATAATGGCCACGTCGGAAAGCTAATGTGCCCTCTCCCCCTCCCTCCACCTCTCTCTCTTGCAGAAAACTGTACAACCATTCATACTGAAAATAAATGAATGGGTATTCTTGTAAAGTATGAACAAACAAAAACGTAAACAAAAAATATAAAAATTAAATAATTCTAAAAAAATACTCAGAAATGAAAATAAAATATAATAATACTAACACACGCCGTTTGGTTCACGTAGCATCGAATTCGTTTAGTTTCACGCGCTATATAGACCAACTTACGTGTGCGACTACACGTATGTATAAATAAATTAATTGAGTCATTCAATTTCTGTGTTTCACGAAACGTCGCGGAGGCATGTCAGTCGCCCAGGGCTCTCGTTGATTCCGTGGGTAAGTGATCTGAATTTCTTTATGAAGTATGACTCCCGCTGTTCGCGCTCCCGTGTGTTCTGGAAGCCGGATTGTAGGAGTATGACACTTACGCGTTCGAAAGAGTGACCAGGAAGATTGATATGTTTGGAGAATGGCGAATTGGGGAGGCCCTTTACGTGTGCCCTGTGGTTGTTGAAACGCAAACGGAACGCGGTTTCCGTGTGTCCAATATATTCCTGTTTGCACACCTCAAAGCGAATTTTGTATACCACATTGGCTGAGTCACAGTTAAGGTCGTCTTTAATTTTGTACACATAGTCTGAACAGGAGGCTTCGGTCGTATCTGTGGTCACCATGTGTGTGCACACCCTGCAGCGAGGTTTCCCGCACGGTCTACAGCCCTGATGGTGGTCGGATTTTTGTGTTTTCGCCCTGACCAGTAAGTCTCTCAGGTTTTTATTTCTTCGGTAAACCACCTTGGGCGGAGTCTGAAAAACGGCAGAGAGGCGACTACTCTGTTTAAGTATGTTGAAGTGGCGGTTTAGTATAGAATTCACCCGAGGGGCGGCGGCGCAGTATGTGAGGATTAAATTTGCCCCTGTAGTTATATAATCTTTATTCCCGCCTTTTTCTCCCATTGTTGATTCTCGGTCCAAAGAGCGAGCGCGCTCAATTGCATTGTCAATTATTTTTTCGGGGTACTTTTGACGCAATCCGGCTTCCAGAACACACGGGAGCGCGAACAGCGGGAGTCATACTTCATAAAGAAATTCAGATCACTTACCCACGGAATCAACGAGAGCCCTGGGCGACTGACATGCCTCCACGTCGTTTCGTGAAACACAGAAATTCAATGACTCAATTAATTTATTTATACATACGTGAAGTCGCACACGTAAGTTGGTCAATATAGCGCGTGAAACTAAACGAATTCGATGCTACGTTAACCAAACGGCGGGTGTTAGTATTATTAGATTTTATTTTCATTTCTGAGTACTTTTTTAGTATTATTTAATTTTTATAATTTTTTGTTTACTTTACAAGAATACCCATTCATCTATTTTCAGTATGAATGGTTGTACAGTTTTCTGCGAGAGAGGGCAGGTGGAGGGAGGGGGAGAGGGCACATTAGCTTTCCGACGTGGCCATTATTTTCCGAAAGCTGGAGCGGGTCGTATGCTTCTTGTGTGTGTGCGTGTGCGTGTGTGTGTGTGTGTGGGGGGGGGGGGGGGGGGGGGGTAAGACGCGCCGCCAGCCAATTACCCGCTCGTTCCCGGCGGCTCTCCGTCGCTCCTTTCTAGTTCCTCTCCTTCTTCTGCGTCTTGTTGTCTGTTGCTACCTCGTTTGCCCGTTTGTCTCGTGTTTTTTTTTTTTGAGGGTCTTCAAACTGTGAGGGTGACCCTCTGCTACGGGAACTTGTACCATTTCACTTACATCCTCCGAAGAAGGCTGGTCCACCAGAGCTGAAACTGTTAGGATTAAATAAATATTTTATTGTTTTGTTTCCTATACTGCACTATTCTCGAAGTTTATATATATATATATATATATATATATATATATATATATATATATATATATATATATATATATATGTGTGTGTGTGTGTGTGTGTGTGTGTGTGTGTTTACTGTGTACATATACAAGTTAAGTTTCTAAAATCAAGATGCACACTGCCTGCGTACAATTTTAACACTTAATGATATAACTAAACTTATACAAAACATCGTCATACATTTGCTGGCTTGCAATGGCGTTACGCCAATAGATTCGAAAAGCAGCACAATTTAAGATGTCGATACAAATTGAGAACTGGTTATAATGAATTTACGCAGATTAATAGACGAGCTATATATACATTTGGTACTTTTAAATATGTTTGTGTGTTGTTTTTATATGTTCGCTATGTAGTAAGGCTTTCAGAAAGCAATATTTAATATCGCCCGCAAAACTGGCATAAAAAAACTAAGTCGTCACCGATATAAATGTTGTAACAGCGTTACTTGTACTCGACTTACTTGTTAAACCATCGAGCGCATGTTGGCTCACATGAGGAACACTGCACTCTGCATATCGTGGAGACTGCTGACAAAACGAGCGTATGATTTGATCGCAGTTTTGATACTTCTCCTCTTTTTATAGTTCGCCAGTAGCCACTCATTATGTAACCCAGCTCAAAGCGCTGCTTGAGTGAGAAGCTAGGTGGATCCGTGCAAATTAAGATTGACATTTGTGTGTGTGTGTGGGTGTCGGTATTCTCTCAAAACAGTGAATGTATAACCGAAATATCGGTGTGCCTGAATATTCACTTGTTCAAAATGACGCGTAGCAGGTGGGTCCACTTATAAAGGGCTCAGAAACCCATCAAACGCGCTAAAAACGAGCAATTACACACTTTCGCAGGCTACAGAGCGCGCGCTCCTTATGCAGACGCTCCAGAGATCTTTAGTACCATGCGACAACAGCGCCGTCTCTACTGTCATGCTCTGGAGAGTCATCTGAGATGCGGCGCGGCCACCTCGTTCATTTCACTGCCTCTTCTAGTACACTGTAGAAGAAGCGTTCAAACGTAAGGTAGCAGAGGCGCAGTTTTCCTTCTCTACTTGACTTCGGCAGCGGTTGTGTGCGAAAACAAGGGTCATTGTGAGGAACCACCCGGCGTGTGAACAGTCGAGACATGCGTGTCAATGCGAAGCTGCTCGCTAATTACCAGAGGCAGACGGTGTGTCTCGTCGGCAAAGTCCTGCAGGTATACCGCTCTTTGTTGTTTCTCGAGCATACCGCGCAAAACGAATACCGGCGCGGCACGCCTCTGACGATTTCATGATTATTGCTGTCGCAGTGCGAACCCCAGGGCATGTCGTTCAAGATGGAATCCCCAGACAAGCAGGTCGTCCAAGTGATCATGAAGAATCCAGTGAGTGTAGCTGTTGCTAATGAGACGGATGGCATTTAATTGTTCACAGATTGAGCGATATGTATGATGAGCTGTTGCTTGCAACAAAGCGTCCACGCAAGGAAAGCAGCACTAAATGTGCAGGGCTGAAAGACGTTCACAACGGCTTCGCTGTGATGAACAAAACAAAACAAAAATTCTGTACATGGCGATATGTAACTGACACTACCGGACATCTAGGTGGCCTCGCGATTTTTTCTTTTCCATGAAAACACATGACAATTTGGAGCCGCTCGCACTATATCACATGTGCACTGTCCATGTTTGGGCGGGCAGTCTTTAGGTCCATTCGATTCACCCTACACTTCCAGAACTAGTTACGGTGGTGCTGTCTGGTTGTTGTCTTCGTGCAGGTGATGTTTCTGCTAGCGCAGCAGTGACGAGACGCGGAAACGAATACGAGAGTGCAGGTGTCGTGCAAGCCCTATGCTAATTGTCTCGAGGGTTGTGTAGGCTGTGCTTCGTAAAAGACGGTGCCGCTTACATTGCTTGGCATGTGTCTACCGGAAAATGTTCACTGTCGTACTTGTTGCACGTCGCTAAAACAGACATGAATGCAATCGGCTATGTCGTCTGCTGCATCCATCTTGCGCAGCACGGACTCGGCACTACTTCACGAGCAGGTGCAGGGAATTCGTGAACTAGCTTTGCACGACAGCTGCACTTATCCGAAACGAATACTGTGGTGCCACTGCCGCCATTTTGAACTTTTAAAACGGATGCCTAAGGCAGTGCCTCCATGAACTGGTTCAGAACGTGCAAGTGAAACGAATGGACCTTTTAGGAAGTCAAAACACCGCATGCTGGTGCTGCGGATGGATGGATGGATGGACTTGGCTGCACCCTTTAGATCGGGCGGCGGCAATCACCGCCTGGCCGTAATATTTAGTGAACTAACCACTAAATTTATCTTTTTTTTTCCTTTAAATAGTAAAGTTGAGGACGGGTACTTTGCAGTGAAGGGCTTAATTTTCACTCTTGCCCTGACTTTAGCCACCAATCAGACAACCTTCTTCCAGTTAATTCTACCCGCATAAAGTCTATTTTGCCCTCCCTGTCCCTAAACCCCAGTGCTCTGAAAAACTCTGTGCCATCATCCTGAACTATAGCGTGAAGTCTTTTACAGAACATTATCAAGTGTTCGGCAGTTTCCTCCTCCTCTCCACATGCACTGCATACCGTGTATACCCCTTCGTATTTGGGCTGATATGTCTTGTTTCGCAATACTGCCATCCTGGCCTCAAAGAGTAGAGAACTACCCCGGGTATTATCATAGATCCTTTCCTTGGCAATTTCCTGCTTAAAAGTTCGATAGATCTCTATTGCGGACTTGTTAATCATGCCAATTCTCCACATGTCAGTCTCCGTTTCCTTCACTTTCTTCTTAACCGATAGTTTTTTTTGGTTTGGCCACCTGCTGTTTTCTAAGTATTTACCAGTCAATTTCCTGGTTCGCTTCCTGCATTTTGTATCGACATTCTTCATGTACAAGTAGCTGAAAACCTTCAAAACCTTCCTAGCCCAACGCTCCTCCCCCATTTCTCTCAATCGCTTCTCAAATTTTATCTTGCTGCCCCGCCGCGGTGGTCTAGTGGCTAAGGTACTCGGCTGCTGACCCGCAGGGCGCGGGTTCGAATCCCGGCTGCGGCGGCTGCATTTCCGATGGAGGCGGAAATGTTGTAGGCCCGTGTGCTCAGATTTGGGTGCACGTTAAAGAACCCCAGGTGGTCTAAATTTCCGGAGCCCTCCACTACGGCATCTCTCATAATCATATAGTGGTTTTGGGACGTTAAACCTTATATATCAATCAATCAATAAATTTTATCTTGCTGCTAGCTTTCCTGCCCGCAAATGATGTCCATCCCATATCACCTTGTACTCCCTGATTTGGTGTATTCCCGTGAGCTCCTAAAGCAAGCCTATTTATTCTACGTTGCTTTACTTCTAATCTGGCTTGAACTTCTGATCTCATGCACAAGACAGCATTGCCGAACGTCAGACCATGAAGCATGACCCCTTTCCATATTCCTCTCATATTATCATACCTATTGTAATTCCACAGTGCCCTATTTTTCATGACTGCTGCATTCCTGTTACCTCTAGTCGTCACGTATATTTCGTGTTCCCTTAGGTGCTTGGTCCCATTGCTTATTCATATGCTCAGATATTTGTATTTATTTGTTATCTCTAGCGTGACCTGTATTTTAAGCTCACTACCTTCATTATCATTAAAAATCATGACTGCTGATTTTTCCTTACTGAATCTGAAATCTAATCTATCTCTCTCATTACTGCAGATGTCCATCAATCTCTGCTAATCTTCCTTGTTGTCGGCCATTAGCTCTATATCATCTGTGTACATCAATGCTGGTAGTGCCTGATCAACGAGTTTTCCTTGTTTGACGAAAGAGAGGTTGAAGCCAAGTCCACTTTCCGCTAATTTGGCCTCTAATCCTTGTAGGTACGTAATCAACAACAAGGGTGACAGAGGACACCCCTGCCTAAGCACCCTTTCACCTCTGTGGGTTTGGATACCTGTTTTTCCCACTTTGAAACTACCTTGTTACTTTTATGAATTTCCTTTAAATATTAGTGACTCTATCTTCTGCACCTAGTGCGTCCAGTATTCCCCACAAGTCCTTTTGAACCACGCTATCCTACGCTCCCTTGATATTAAAAAATACTAGCCACAGGGGCCTGAGTTCTTTTTCTGCTATTTCGATGCACTCCGTCAATGAGAACAGATTGTCTTCTAACCTCCCGTGTTTTCGAAACCCGTTCTGCAGTTCCCCCAGCACCCCCTCATCCTCTATCCATGCCTGCAGTCTTTCCTTTAAATCTGCATCGTCGGCCTGTAGACCTCTGATGTCACTGTTATAGGACGGTAGTTGTTTATGTCAGCTTTGTCCCCCTTTCCTGTATAGATCATGCTCATCCTGCTAAGTTTCCATCCATCAGGGACTTCACCATCGATTATTGTTCAGCTCACTGCCTCTCTCAAAGTCTGTTTAGTCTTCGGACCCAATGTCTTTATCAGCATAATCGGAATGTCATCTGGGCCTGTTGATGTGCTACTTGGAATCCTTTTCTCAGCCCTTTCCCACTCCCGTTGTGAAAATGGAGCCATTGCTACACTTGATCCATCCTTTTCTATTGTGGTGCATAAGGTACTTCTTTGTTGAAATTTTTCTGTCATCCTTGTTCTTATATATTCAATAGCTTCGTCCCCTTCTAGCCTAGCACCTTGAGCTGTAGTTATAAACCTCTGCTCTTGGCTTGTTTCATTTGATAGGGAGTTTAGATGGTTTCAAAATTTCGCAGCTGCCTTTCTGTCCTTTTTATGTACTTCTGCCAGCCACTGAGCACCCTTTCTTTTAATCTTTTCATTGATCAGAAGGGATGCTTCTCTTCTACAGCTTAGAAAGATGTCCCATTTTCTTTCAACATCATCTGTCGGTTCACCCTGCTGTTTAGCATGCCTGTGTTCCCTAGAGGCTTCCTGACATTTTGCTATGGCTCTCTTTAACTTCCTTATCCGACCAACTCTTGGGCTTGTGTCTTCTTTTCCGGGGTGACTTGTCACGTGCCTTAGCAAGCTCATGCTCTAACAGTGTAATTAGATTTGTGTATTTCCACACTGTTTTATTATCCTCAGTGATTCCTTTCTCAATTTGTTTAGTAGCAATTGCTATTTGTCTTTCTGAATAAAAATTTTCCTGTAGTTGCTCATCTTGTCTCCTTCCCACTTTCACTGCTCTTCGAAAACTTAGCTTGATACGTTTGTGATCACTACCCAGACATCTGGAGCCATCTTCATCTATGTGCATTCCCCTGAGCTTATCGTACATCCTATGTGACATCAGTGCGTAATCTATCGTCGACTGCAGCCTTCCTACCTCCCGCGTTATTTGTCCTTCACACTTCTCAGTACTGTTGCAAAAGATCAAATCATGCCTTTCACACATATCTATGATCATTTTGCCTGTTGAGGCAGTATTCCCATCTATATCTTCTATGTGCAAATTTATATCTCCTAGTATAATTATCTCGTACTCTCCTCCTAATTCCTCAACGTCCTTTGATGTACACTCGGCCATCCTGGTTTTCCTCTTTGGCCTTTCTCCTGTCCACAAGTACACCAAACCAAGGAGTGTCATTTGCCCTGCCACTTTCCCTTTTAGCCATAAGTGTTCCTTGCACTCCTGCTTGACCCTTTGCCAGTCTGTACTTTTATGAATGAATGCCCCAATACCACCCCCCTTTTTGCTGCCTTCTGTTCTATTACAATATTCCCACATGTTGTCCGGATTACAAGGTCGTTGCTCCATGTCCCGAAGATGTGTCTCCACAACCCCATATACCATCAGTTCTTCCTGCCTCAACTGCTATTCTATCTCTTCCCACTTTAACCCATTTCTGCCATTCTCCATGTTAATATAGCCTATGTGTGACTTAGCTCGGCCCTTGTGCTTATGTCTATTTTTTCTCCCACGGACTCTCTGTGGCTTGAATATTTGTGGCCCTTTACCCCCGAATGCAGAGATGTTACTTGGCTCGCGACTTCAACTTAACTTGAGCAAGTCGGCGCGAAGCAAGCAGCGGACTTCAAAACGCCCAAGTCAGCCTTCGCGTTTCATAGATGCTCAGGCTGTCTTGCTTGGTCAAGTCAAGAACGAGCTTCAAAGCAGAAACACGCTGCTCGCCTGCTAACGAGGGTAATAATGAAGTTGTTCGCGTAAGCCATGCATTACACCAAAAAAAGACCATACGTTTTAAAATAACTATAAAAACGAAGGGCCACAAGCATATTCTTGCCATTTTACGGCTAACGAGCGGCACGTGGTGCCTGCCACCACAGCGATGCGCAGTGTTGCTTCTGTAAAACGTTTGTCGCCCGCCCACCCAAATGCGGTGCGTTTCTCCACGGTTGCTTGTTTGGAGGCGAAACAAGCATCGCGTTG